CCCGAGCCTGACCGAGTCATGGTTGTGACGTGGTGGGCGGGTGCATGTGTGGTTGAACTGACGGCATATAGGCATTTATTCTGTTCATAAAATTGTGGTATCCCTTGGGGCCCAATCTCATAAAGCAAACTTAACATATATATGCTCATGTAATACTTCTTTCTCAACTAATGAGAGATTGGTGTCAAATTTCATATTACACAACCTCTATTTTCACATCTCAAGATGGTCAATTTAGAGCTTATTTTCTCATTCATTTTTTACTCGATTTGAACAAGTGAATATATTACGTTATTCTCATCACGGAGTAGAACATGAGCCCACAAAAGTTTATTTGAAACAATGAACGGATCTCACTTTAATTTAGGTCTAAACTCAGCCAAAAATTAAATTTTAATTACTAAAATATGTTTTTAGTTCAACAAATACTACAACTAGGAAATTAAATCGTCAACTTATAATAACACGAAAACAGTTAAGATTAATCTAATTTTTATTTACTTTAATCTAATGATAAAAAACATTATTTTATCTGTAACACCTCTGATATTAAACAACTCAAGCAACACACCTCTCAAAAAAAAAAAATTAGTCTCTCTTCTGTTTCCTTTTTTACCTCTTTCTTATTTTTTTCTATTCAAATTAATTTTAAAATACATAATTAAAAAAATTAATTTAAACATTACTATTCAAAATATAAATATTATATGATCAATATTTAGTTTTTTAGTATTACAAGGTGTTGTTAACCGGGGGTATTACAAGTAGGGTTAATTGAAGGTCGGCCTAGGTTTGTAGAGTTTTAGAATAGTTAGTCCACACTCATACTTTTGGAGCTTCAAGGATAATTAAAGGTATAAAGATAAATTTACCCTGACATAAATAATTATATTTCAAAATGAACAATAACAGTAACATCAAGACAATAACAATAACAGCGAGACAGTAACAATATCATAGGATAATGAAATTGAGACAGAAACAATTATAAACATAGTGAATTTTTTGTTGTAACTGTCTATCGTCACTGTCCAAAATTCACAGAACTAGACATTAATGTAAATATTTATTGTTATTGTCTATTTTGTCTATGGAACTAAACAATAACGTGAACTAAATAATTACACAATTATAGTAACGATTACAATTACTGTCAAAATTCTGCGGAACTAGACAGTAACGTAAACTAAACAACTAAGCAATAACAGTAATAGTCATAGTCACCATCAAAATTCTATTGAATTAGACAATCATACGATGACAATAATAACTACAGTAATGGTGATACAGATAGTAAATTTCGTTATCACTGTCTAAATTTTAAGGTGTGAATTTAAAATGAATTTTACTTAATACCGAAGGAATTTTCTCCAATTTAGTTGATCATCACACTATTAACAAAATTATCGTGTTTGAATAATTTGAGTTTGAAATTAAATTAAATAAGTATTAACAAACTAGTTCTCGTAGTAATTAAAGAATTAGTGCAAGTACTATCACTTGGAACAAGGAATTTGCTAGCTCCTGTTCTCTTTTCGTATTGGACACCAAAATTTTTATATATTCCGATGACCACAATGAAGATGACGATCGTGGAGAGGTATACGAGCTATCGTGGCCTTTGATATTTGAGATGTGTTCATTGTCGAAGGATTTGAAGACCACGTCGGAGTAGAAAGGTGGTTTGCGGATTGAATTGAAAAGGGAGGAGGAAAAGCTAGGGTTTTGATTGGGTGTTTCGGGGCGTATGAGTAAGAATGGAGGAGAGGAGAGTGGAAGATCATCGTTGGTAGAGATTTCGGCAAACGATAGAGATGAGGATGGGGAGTCTAAGAACGATTGTTAGCCGTTGGATGCATCGGTGAGGACCATGGATTCCATTTCTTCTCTAAATGCATAGAGATGGGCTTCTCCGTAGCTTTGGCTCTCAAATCAAATCAAATCCCATCTTTTTATTACAAGTACTACTTTAATACTAAAGCGTCAGCAATGGGTCGGATTGGTTCACCAGTCAATCGATTGTGCCCACTCTTGGGCCGGGCCATGGGATATTCATCCGGTAATCTTCGGCCTATTTTGGTTTTCAAGGGATTATCCTTTAGGGCCGATCTTAATGAACCTTTAAAAGCTTCATAATTCGACTTTGTTATTTTTTAGTGGGTTTTTTTGAAAATTGGTACACTTAATTAGGTTTATTTGGTAAAAAGTATATAAAACAAAATATTTTAGAAAAAAGTATGCAAATAAGTTACAAAGACATAAATGCCCATTTTAGGGTCATTTAATTCAAAATCTTTTATCTTTAATGTATCTTGATTCATATGTATTTATTAATACATATAAATACATATTTAATGCATCTTGATTCATGTGTATTTGTTAATACATGTATATATATACAAGTGTAATTAATGCACCTCGATTCATGCATATTTTTTTTTTTAGAAAGTGATTTTATTTTCAAATTATATTTAATGCACCTTGATTCAAGTGTTTTTTTTTTTT